AGATTCATCAACGGCTGATATTTCTGCTATCGTCTCCCTATCGTTCTGTGACTGCCCATCCACTACCAAGGATCCATATTCCAACATCAAGAATTTGGCCTCAAGTTCCGTATTTTTTAGTTTTAATTCCTCGACTCTAGCATCACGCTTAACATTCTCATCCATAACCTGCTTTAGAAGCTCGACATTCCTAGCCTCAATCTCAGCTTTCTCAGCCTCAAGCTTGGCGTTTTTAGTCTCAAGCTCGCTAATGCGTTGTCTCAATAATTCAAGCTCTGTTGACATGATCTATAAAATTATACACTCTACATAAGCATTCAAAATAAAAAAAATCACGTGCGCGTGAAGATTCTTCACGCCGATCACGTTTGCCAAGAAAAAATTTTTTATTAATAGACGCAAAAAATAAATTACAAGGGATCGGGACTTTGCCCGTGATACATGTTGTAATTTCGTTTTACAAAGTGAAATGTTTCTATACTAATGCCTGCTATACCAGTTTTTCGTTTGTCTTTACAACCTATACTAATACATTATCCCAACATTCCGGTTTCATTTGCCTCAATCATCGATATTCTGGACAAAACAAAAACGGTCGTCAGTTATGCATAGAACATGCGGAGTCTGAAATAGATTAATAGCGTTGACCTTAGTAAAACTCACCAAAAGTTTATGCACTCCGCCTAATAAGGTCCTCGAAAGTTCTGAACAAAAAATGGATATTAGTTTGCAAGCTCTGAGTCGCTTCCTTGTAAATGCACAGTCATAACCGAAATTTCATATCTTATACATTAGTTTCGCCGACCAGGAATTATTTTGATTGGCACTCTCATGTGACATTGTGACATGTGGCTGATTTTTGATTGATAAAATTTTTTTTCCTTGACACATCGCTGACTCAGTTCGTAGTATTACTGACTCACAGTTTGTAGTAATTAGTCAACAGCCGTTTATGGAAACATATATATATATGATAAATAATCAAAATGTCGAACTATTCTTCGCTATTTCGAGTACTTTCGCCATCCCGGGTACAAACTAAATTCGAGGAAGATTCACCACTTGTTAGGTATCAGTCTTTTACTTGTGTTATACTGAAAATTACCTTATTTTTAACTCTCGATTTTCTTGTTTGCAGAAATATGGCACAAATGATTTTAAATTGTTTTATCCTAGGTGACACTCGTGGGTTTCCGGTTGTTCTTGGAGAAAAAATTGTCGTAAAGAATGATACCATCCCTTTTGAAATTTTCAACGTTGGACTTCTCACAGACTACATCTGGGAAAAGAAAGAGGATATTATTAGTAGCTCTAGAATAGATCTTTGGAAGGTTGAAATCGAAGATACCTATGAAAACAAAGAAAAACTTAAAAATACTGAAACCAACATCGAAGAGGAATTCGGGGGCGAGAGGTTGTCTACAACTAAATTGGCTAAGAATATTTTCTCAGATGGACCGCCGGATGAACGCATTCACATCCTCGTGCAACAGCTACCTTCGCCCGCCACCACTGGTAAGTGTCTCCCAATGGTTTACCTCTCGAACAAGAAATTCGCGTTATCTCACCTATATTTTTTTTATTCGATTAGCGTTAGGGAAAAGAAAGACAGAGGATTTGAACGAGGGGAATGGGAACAAAAAGTACAAAGAAGAAATAGAATCTCTCGAAAATGAAGCTATCAAGCATAAGATTTCAACATTTATTAATAGCTTAAACTCGATTGACACAAATAAGCAAGTGCTCGAGTTGCCACTATTGCCAGGAGACGTCAATAAAACATCCATATATAAACGAGAATGTTATAACTATCTCCGTTCCCATATACTCAATAATAACCTCCACAATCGGTTTTTAATTACCGGTAATCCGGGCATTGGCAAGACTTATTTCGGTAGACTAATGTTAGTGGAATTGCTTAAAATTGGGAAAAAAGTTCTTTTCGATAGTAAAGACTGCACGCTATATATTGACCCTAATGGTAATACATACCGAGTGAATAGTTATGAATACAAACTTTTTGCACAAGCTAAGGATACCTGGTGCATAATTGATGGAAGGCCACCCCAAATAAGTCATGATTGGTCTGCAGGGAAGTTTATAATGGTGTCTTCACCTCAGAGAGATATCATTAAAGACTTTGACAAACCAAGATGTAAAACATTTTATATGCCAACATGGGACGAAGACGAGTTACTTGAATGTTGGAAGAGTCTATATAAGAGCGAAATTGTTGAAGAAACAATCAAAAGAAAATTTAATTTATGTGGTGGGATTCCAAGATGGATCTTCGATAGTGAGATGGACTCTGAAAAAATTCGTAAAATGATTGTTTCTGCATCCGAATCAATTGATTCATGTATTTTAGATTATCAAGCAAAACTCTTCTTTGGTCATGAATTTTCTCATAAGATAATTCATATACACACAAATCTCGAGGACACGGAAAATCCATATACTGATTCTATTTGCCTTTTTGCCTCAAAATTCGCAGGAAATAAATGCATAGACCACTTAAAAAGACATAATAAGGAGAAACTTCGCACGTTCATCTTGAGTGCAAGGAATATAAAGGAAATGGGCGCGCTTCGCGGACAGCTGTTTGAATTGTTGTCGCATGAAATTCTATGTAGGGGAGGAAGATTTTTAACACGCAAACTAACAGATAGGGGCACAGAACCCGAAGTATTTAAAGAATTTGAATCAGATTTAGAAGAAAGGATCTTTTGGTCCGTTGACGAGATTAAACATGATATACAGCAAGGACAAAAAAATTATTATCGACCAAATTCTGATACGTTTGAAAGTATTGACAGTTACATTTATCCAAATAAGATGTTTCAAATCACTGTTTCTAGGGGACATGATGTCAAGCAAGATGGACTAAGAGCAATCAAGGAAATCTTAGATGAAGATTCTGAGATTAACATTTACTTTGTTTTGCCGAAGGATATATTTGAAAATTTTAAAACAAAACAGCCTTACAAAAATAAGGGGGATGGCAAGAGATTTGATGCTTGGATTAACAATATAGTGCAGTATGCATTATGCATTGATCTTGATAAGTATTGCGGTGAATTATAAAGTATTTGATTGAGTAAATTTAAGCACTTATCATTAAAGAGTAACTAATAAATATTCATTAAAAATTGCTTAAGCGAAAATTTTATTTGACTTTATATATGTGTAAAATTGCCTTGTTAATCATTATAAACTAAAAATGAATACAATAAATGTGTGGCGGATCTTGTTGTAGCGTCTGAAGACTAATGTCCAGAGGATTTCTCGAGTGTTCCTTTCTAATTTTTTCGCTATCTACTTTGATTCTGTTATGTTTGAAATAAATTATCCACATTCCATTTCTATATCTACGTTACAATTTTTGCAATTATGCTTAGTAGATGTAATTTCGGATCTATCGCAAAAATTTTGCAAAGGTAAAAAAAATAATATAACCGATTCACACTTTATATTCGTTTCAAAACATATCTGGAATGCTCTTTGGTATAATTCGGCATATGATACTACTAATTTGTGCCGAATTTCGTGGCATATAATTAAAACTGCACCAATGAGAGGCTTCCCGTATGTAAAAATCAACGAGGGTCTAATGCATGATCGAGGAATATTAGCATACAACTTATGGAGTATGTAACTAGGGAAAATTAACAGAAGATATCTTGTCGCATTATTACATCATACATGTAGGTGCAATGTGAAGAATCTTCACGATCAAAATCACGTGAACACTTATCTTCATGTAATCTCAAGTCAAAGATATTCATCATTAGCCTATTTATTCCTCCGCGAGATTACTCAATGACTTTACCCTTTAATTCCCCTCTACATGAAATACCTTTTTCCGTAATCCCCATACCGTACTTATGTTTGCTTTGTGTTAGTGAGATAGTGGACAATCTAAACGACGACTGTGCATCTTTTTTCGGACAATAGTTTGATCGTGACATTTTGTCACGGATTTTAATAACCTAAAATTTCGTCAGCATGGTTAATAACACTCCAAATAAAAAAATCACGTGCGCGTGAACAATTGTTCACGACGATCACTTTCGCCAAGAAAAATTTTTTATTAATACATGCGAAAATAAATACAAATGTTCGGGACTGTGCCCGTGATACATGACGTCTCCTATACAATTATTTTTTCAACCGATATTCCTCTATTCTAGCCTTTTTCTTTGAGGGAGGATCGTCTTCCGCACATGCCCTATCCTTTAATCATCCTAGATTTCCCCTGCGTACCCATCAAAAAATGTCACGAAAAATCACGTGAAAATTCCCATCACCGGTGTCACACCCCTTCGCGTTTTCATTTTTACTAAGTATTCAGGGGACAGAATTTTTACAGTAGTGAAAAGTTTATTTGTCACACAACAACTGTCACATGCGCGCCACACTTAATGCCAGCCGAATGACATAATGCGGTCATTTCGTGACATTTTTTGATGGGGAAGTCATAATCCTACTACTACGCCCAACACTTTTTTTACGCCATTACGTAGTGTTTGATATTCTTCGGAGTCTTTTTTCAAGGCATCTTCGGAAAATTCGATGCTAGATGGTAATTTACTGCCTTGTGAAATTTTCCCCGGAGTGTACAGTAGAAAGTACCAGTCTCGAGCTGTAGTGACAATACCATATAAATAATCGAAGTCATCATCATCCTCCCGCTTTCGTTTTCTCTTATTCGTTTGGAACGAGCTCTCTAGCTGTTTGATATTCTGGGCAAAACCCTCAACTAGATGTCGCTCTGGTTTGTCTTCTGTAACGCAAATAAGGTTCTCGGCTTTCTGAAATGCAAGTATGGTATTAGTATATCCTCTAAAAAATGTCAAGAAATTTGCGAGACTGCCCCGTCCCGGAAAAAAAATATCCTAATACCTTGATTGCGAAGTCAACCCGTCCCGTGCTTTCATCACCTATTACTTCGTATTCAGGCCTCATGCTGAGCTCTTCCCCTGTAGATCCCTTGTAATATTGATAGCGGTATGAAGAATAGCCACGACGTACTCATTGCGCATGGCTTCCAAGCTATCCACGACCAAAGTCCCGTAATTTTTTAATCTGACTAAAATTTCCGCCATGCAATGCTCGAAATGCTTATCGGAGTCTTGAATTTCGTGGGTTTGTAGAGAAAATAGTGGGATATTGTCTGTGCCATTGGAGTCAATACCGTATTTTGCTAACACCTCACTCAAACTCTTGTACGAGGAGAACGCACGCTTCGGCTTTTCTTTGAGGGTCTTGGTCTCTTTTGCAAGTAATATTGCTGGTCCCATTTCCAAACCAGCTTGCATAAAATCTTCCTTTGTCAACTCAAGAAAGGAGAGACCGTTAAATTTTTTCTTACGAAGTATTCCTAAGTCATCGTCGTCGAGCTTGAGGTTTTGCTCTTTCAAAAAATCGATAAGGGTTTCTGTATCCCAGAAGTAAGAGTCGTGTTCAGCTGTTGAGGTAGACATAGTAGTTGTTAGGCTCGGGTGAAAAAATAGTGTTACCTTCCGGAGTGAAATAAAAAATTTAGGGAATACTGGGCGTTAATATAGGTTTTTATGTCGCACAGGTATTGCATCATTACACGTGACCCGTTCTCATGTACATTCGATAAAATAATACTTTATTTATGAAATAAAAACGTTGCCGGTTGCCGGCTTAAAATACATAAAAACTATTACATAGCATGATAATGGAATATAGATAAAAAATCTAACTACTGGGGGGCTTTGGGACGGGGTATATGAGGATGAGACCCTCTTCGATATGATCGATATTAAAATGCTTAGAAATCATATCATCTGGTTTCAACTCTGTCGTCAGCTCTTTTGGATTATCAACACAAAGCTTAATCTCATCAGGAACCTGCTTATAAAGTGTTTCCATTCCTTTTTTAATAGTGGGTATGGCGTCTTTGACCAAAGTTTGCCAGGCTATTTTGATTATGAAGATTTCATCATCCGATTTATCATGGACTTTAAACCTGAAGTCAATAATATTGGCCATTTTTTCGTTTCCTAAATACAAAGCCCATAGTGAGAAAAACTCGCTCCCATACATACATAATTTATGGCATATACATACCTTATTTTGCGTTATTTTTCTAGGAAAATTTTGCGGAAAGTTGGCTGAACTTCCACATACTCCTACATGCTTTATATCTTGCTGGGAAAAAGATAAGGAGATAAGAATAGTGATTAGCATTGTCGTATGATGCCAAGAGCTCTATGAAAGCATATGCAAATGAAATCCTTATACCTTTTCACATGTAGATCTACCGGAAAGACATAGTTGGTTTTACGCCTGGCGATCTCAAAATTGTGAGTCCCTCAGCCTTTCATAACATATGGTTTTGTCGTCACTATTTACTTATATGGTAGGTCCTGTCTTGCAAGTAGACCTCCTTTCACATTTTTCTCACATTTGTTCGGGAAAAAAATAGAGGTACTGGTTAGCGAATATATATGCGAAATTAATATGCAAAATGTCGCACAGACCTATTATGTGATCAGCCTATTTTTGTCGCACAATTTGGCCGAACCGAGCTGGTGATCACTGCTCCGGACTGATTAGTGTTGTTAATCCGGCCAGGTCCATATTTCTGATCGAAGTTCAAGTGGATAATATGGCAATTCTATTAGACTTATTGTTTGTGGGAGATAAATAACATTGGATTGTAAGAGTACATGGAATAATGACGTTGGATTACTTACACTGGGTAGACTA